GCCTCAGCATCCACAAGGTCGCGATGAAGGTGAGGTTCTCGAGCTCGCGCCGAGTAGAACGAGCTGTCCGGGCACCCGAGGACCCGGTGGAGGCAGTAAGGAAGACTATAGCTCTTGCTGCAAAGGTAAGCTCATGCCCACAACCTTTCTCATTGAGGCAGAGCTACAAGGTACATAAGCTTTGGCTCTGTCCTTTTATTAATGAAATTTCTACTTCTACAACTCTGTTCGCTGAGCTTTGTCCATTTCTTGATTTTCCCTTAAGCTTTTAAACTTACCTTTGTAGAGTTGATCGTATGTATGTAGTTTCATCTCGCACCTTTGACTCGTAAGTTTAGAGGATTGAGTTTAGGAGGAACTTCGACACATCGCACCTTTTACTTCTTTAAAGGTTTGAATTTGAAAGTTTCCTTTATTAATTTCAACATTTCTGCTCGAACTCAGAAGCCCAAAGGATAACATTGAGCAGCCGAACTTTCCACATCGCCCCTTTAACTTAGACGTTCAAAGGATTGAATTTTAAGTTCATGAGCAATTTTAACATCGCACCTCGAACCCGTAGGCTTAGAGGATTGAATTTTATGAAAATTACCTTAGTAATTTTGATATCGCACCTCGAACCCGTAGGCCTAGAGGATTGAATTTAATACAATTTACTTTGGCGATTGTTACGTTACCCTGCCAGTTTTAAGCCCTATGGGAGTCCGTGGCCCCCATTTAATTTCTGATCGAATTTGGGATCGTGAAATTAAATAGCTCCTCCGTCTTGTTAAGGTTTCCTTCCCTTGAAAATTTTTACAAGTCCATTTCAGGATCATTTCGACATTTCAAGGGTAATAACGCTTTAGGTGCTCTGCGTTCCATGGATGCGCAAGCATGTTTCCTTCCAGATCGGCTAGCATGTACGTTCCTGGTCAGACTATGCCTTTAACTTCGAACGGTCCCTCCCAACTCGGGTCAAGGGTGTCCACGTGTCTTTGAATCCTCCTCAAGACCAAATGTCCGACTTGAAAACTGCAAGGTCGAACTTGGGCATTGTAATGTCTGGTCATTCTGTTCTGATACTCTGTCAAGCGTAGCTGAGCCATTTCCCTTTTCCCTTCTAATAAATCAAGATTGAAGAGCAGCTCTTCCTCATTTCTTAATGGTTCGTACTGCTCTACCCTGTCTGTTGGCACACCGATCTCGACTAGGACAACAGCTTCGGAGCCAAAGGCCAGTGAGAACGGGGTTTCACCGGTTAACTCTCTTGGAGTAGTCTGGTATGACCACAGGACTTCGGGTAGCTCCTCAGCCCATCTTCCCTTTCTGGAGTCCAATCTCAGCTTGAGTCCGCGTTTTATGATTTTATTTACTGCTTCGACTTGTCTATTAGCTTTTGGATGGGCAGGGGACGAGCTGAGGTGCCTTATGTTCAACTTCCTGCAAAAGTCTTTGAACCTTGCATTATCGAACTGCTTCCCGTTGTCTGTCACGATGGCGTTCGGTATACCAAAGCAGCATACAATATTTGTCCATATGAACGATGTAACCACGGACTCTGTGATGTGGGTGAGCACCTCGGCCTCGACCCATTTGGTGAAATAATCCACAGCGACAACGGCGAATTTGGTTTGTCTTTTGCCCAGGGGAAAAGGACCTATAATGTCTACCCCCCACTGTGTGAATGACCATGGGGCCGAGTGAGCAGTTCGGGAGGCTGATGAATAATGTTTGCGAAGCGCTGGCAGTTGTCGCAAGTCTTCATAAACTGCTTGGCATCCTAATCAACGGTGGGCCAATAATATCCTTGTCGGACCACCTTGGTCGATAACGACCTGGCTCCTGAATGGTTACCACATACTCCGTCGTGAATTTCTCTGAGGATGTAATTCCCCTCTTCATGAGTTACACACTTAAGGAGAGGCAGGGAGAACCCCCGTCGGTACAATGCTCCATCTCGGAGTATGAACCGGGCTGCTCTTCGTGCCATCTTCTTGTGTTCTTTTGAGTCTTGCGGTGGGTTTCCTTTGATAAACTCCACAATTTGATCCATCCATGAGCGTGTTGGTGTGTCAATATCCACATGTCTGGCTCCAAAATTGAAGGATTATCCAAGATTTCAATCGGGACCAACCTCGCTAGATCAGTCTCGTACGCCGATGCTAATTTGGCTAAGGCATCTGCGTTTGAATTCTCTGATCTTGGAACTTGATTCACCTCGTAAGTTTTGAACTGGGCAAGGTGCGATCTGACCTTACTTAAATATTTCTCCATTCGAGAGTCTTTTGTTTGATACTCCTCCTTGATCTGATTTACCACCAACTGGGAGTCGCT